AGCAGAGACTGTTTCTCTGTCCTCATCCACACCTTCAGCAGGGCTGGTTGTGGCCTCTGCGGCATCAGGAACTCCAGTAGAGTCTGGCTTGGGACTGTTTTATTGCTGTTTCTCTGTTTTTTCCAGGCCGATGTTGGCAGGAGTTTTAGCACTAGTAGTCAGTTCAACCAGCACTGCAATGGCAACAGGAAGTTCATTGAGCGGTGTTTTGAAATTTATTTTAACAATTTTCTTTGAATGTATGTTGTGACCTGTCAATCACAACCCAGTCACACCAACATATAAACCACCACACTGATGACAAAATAGCACATATTCTCTAGGGCAATAAATATGTATGAATAAGGATGTACATAATTACAGAAAATATGAAAAAACAGTTATGGCCCAGTTTGCTGCCCTGCACTGCCGCTGGAATCATGTCTTTCCATCCAATCACTGATTCTGCCTTTTTCTTCAGTGAACAATGAGAACATCTTTTAAGACCCAAATGCAGTCTGGACCCACACAGGCTGCTCTGAAAGGTGCAGAGGGGTGGCTGCTTGTGTACTGAATGATAAACACTGAGCCCTGTGTGTTGGATCGGCTGTTGCCAGAGTCACTCACTGTTGTGTGTGTGTCTACATATACGTGCGTGTGTTGTTGCAGGAGGAGTTCTGTTTCCCCGTGGAGTGCCTGTCTCTGACCGTGGAGGAGGTGATGCACATCAGACAGGTGCTGGTTAAGGCAGAACTGGAGAAGTTCCAGCAGTACAAAGACATCTATAACGCTATGAAGAAGGGAAAGGTAACTATACACCTTGCTTGTATCATTTCCAGTACAAAACACCAAGTGAATGCATTAACCTGCCATTAGTTACAGTTGTACATTTGGTCAAATATTTTGATGTTCGCATTAATTTCTTCTTCTTCATCTTTTTTTTGTATTGCAGCTTTGCTTCTGTTGTCGAACCAAAAGGTTTTCCTTTTTCACCTGGTCCTACATCTGCCAGTTTTGCAAAAAGTAAAACATCTTACGTGATTATCTTCATCTTTTCTCAAATGAAAACTAACTGGAAGGAAGTGTGACTGTTTTCATTCATCACTTCCTCTCTTTTGTCTCTCTTTTCTCCTTCTAGGCCTGTGTGTTCACAGTGCTGCAAAAAGGTAAGTCAAATAGGCTGATCAGCTGCCTGTGCGGCATGAAATCCTTCTTCCATTTGTTCAGATCAGTCAGCTCACAGTACTGTGGTGCCAAATTCAAAATGGGAAACACTTTAACATTGTATCTTTCTTTAGATCAGTTAAAACATTATTTCCGTCATATTTTATTACTGATTCTCTCAAAGATATCTTTCCCGTTTTGCATCATTACAATGTTGTAAGAAAATACTGAAGTAGTTTAACGAAGATTTTAAATCCGTACGGCCCAAAATCTGACACCTGAATACCTAACCTATGAGTTGTGAAGTGAGGATGTGATATAAATATAAACCTCCAATTTTCATCAGTATTCATGTCTTCCCTCTCTAACAGATGCGGCTGCCATCCAAACCTTATTCCAGCTTGCCCATCTACTCCATCGGCTCGACCAACACTCTCCCCAGGGACAGGGTAAGTGCCATTGCTGCTGTAGGACAAGGTCTCTCTGTGGCTGCAGGGCCAGGGCCATCCGCAGTGGAAGGGGCCTCAGCATCCCCAAATTTGAGAGGAGTGACAACAGAAGCGTCTAAAGGAGCTGGAAAAGCCTCTCGAGGAGCAGCTGCTGCTAAATCTGAGAAATCCTCCAGTAGCCCACAGCGCCACGGCATTCCGAAGACCATTTCCAAGTAAGAGCTAAGAACACACATTACTCAGACTGAAGATATCGCATTATTTATGTACTGATATAATACAAAGAAAGACTCTATATATTGGTACAGTGGATTAAAACACATACTGTACCCGAGTGAATGTACATACATTAAAAGACATTAACTGCATTTCCAAAATGCTGCTAATGATACAAAAAGCTGAAGACACATTTGCTCATGATCACACAATGTAGAAAATACATAAACAATAGACTAAAAGGCATTCAATCTTAGTATTTGCTGCTTGGGGACAATCTGTCCTCAACACCTGCCTCATATATCCAGTGTGTATCTTTGGACTGTAGTGCACTGTCACTGTGACATCTAGTGGCTGAAAAGTACTATGATCAGCACTAGTAAAAGACACATTGAAGAGGAGATTTAAAAAGCATTTATTTATTCTCTTTCTTTTTTAAAGTACTTTTTTGGGGCTTTTATTGCCGTT